AGTCTCTATAAAACTCGCTTGGGCCTCTCGAGTTCCTTTGCTTTTTGAACTCAGTGTCCAGGAACAGCCATGATTCCAAAAGCATCCGCAAGTTCTGAACTTCAACTCAGGGCCTACTGATTGTCCTCTGTGAGGCATTTAAAGCCCCTCTTGAGTCTAAGGTGGGTCAAGATTGAGGGCAAAGATATTGTGTGGACACTGGAGGAAGCTTTTTGGGTCACAGAGGAAGAAAATAAGGTCTTTCCCACATGTGGTGCTCTCTTTAGCCCCTCTCCCTTCCACAGGCTAGGAGAGCCAATACAGATCTGCTCCTCTGTGGGGAGGGAGCTGATGATCTCATTCTCTTGGGCTGCCCCATGGCTATGAGTGCGGAGGGCTGGGCCCATGGTACTCAGACCTGAGGCAGCCGGCCATACAGCCTTGGTACCCAGGCATAACCCTCAGGTTCTTGTTCACTTCCTCTTTCTGGATGGCTTGCTTTTCCCTGGCACCAATACCCCATGGTAAGAGTGATATATACGGAAGGGAAACGCAGATGCAGGCTTCTGAGGGAAAGGGAAAGAAAGCCCTTTACCTGCCTGACTTTAGGCCCTAGGCTACCTCTAGCCCTGACAAAATTAATTTTCCAAGTAGTTCTGCTGCACGTATGGTCAAAGCTTCAGCTTTACAGCATGCATTTGCTTTACTTTATCCTCTGTCCATGTGATTTTTTCTCACAGGAGGCTGGTGTTCACAGAAGACAGAATTTGGGGATGTGGGAGTCTGGTTTGGAATATGGTGCATTGGCCAGCATTTCTCTCTCAATCGCTTCCCATTTATCTTGCTCTTTCTTGGTGAACTCACTTGTTGCCTCCCACTTTAATACTCCTCTGCACTGGGGTGTAATGATCTCAGAGTTGGGTTGAAAATTGACATTAACCCATTTAAAATAAGAAAATGGAAGCCAAGTTGGGAATATCTTCTTAGTGGCAACACCAAAATGCCCTTCTTCTTCCGACAGTTTGAAGATAATTGGGAATCTGACAGAACAATTAAAATTGAATTATTGTTTCTAATAGATTTTGAGCCCATTCTGCAGTGGAATTTCATGAACTAGCAAGAGGTAAGATTTTACTGTGAGAATCAGTCTTCCTGATGGACGAGTTCACTCCTGAGATTAATACCATCACTCCACACAGCTCCAGCTGGCCATGTCAACTCAACGGCTTGTGTCGATTTTGCCATGGCTCCCACCTCCCTCTCTTCCATTTAATCTCTCTGAATACTACTGCGTTAGTTTTTGCATTATTTTAGAGGAGCAATTTATCATTTAAATGGCCATCTTCCCAACAACCAACCAAGTAAGAGTTGTTGTTTCTTTTTCTGTTTATCCACACAAATGCATTAAAATATCGTCAGTCCTGGGTTACAATGCCTTGGTGGTTCTAATTTGAATTTTCTTTTTCACTTTGAACACTCAGGACACCGTCTTTTATTATACAAGAAAGGAGTGTACCTATCACACACAGGGGGAAAATGCTCTTTTGGGTGCTAGGCCTCCTAATCCTCTGTGGTTTTCTGTGGACTCGTAAAGGAAAACTAAAGATTGCAGACATCACTGATAAGTACATTTTTATCACTGGATGTGACTCGGGCTTTGGAAACTTGGCAGCCAGAACTTTTGATAAAAAGGGATTTCATGTAATCGCTGCCTGTCTGACTGAATCAGGATCAACCGCTTTAAAGGCAGAAACCTCAGAGAGACTTCGTACTGTGCTTCTGGATGTGACTGACCCAGAGAATGTCAAGAGGACTGCCCAGTGGGTGAAGAACCAAGTTGGGGAAAAAGGTGAGGGACATGAAAGTGGGGAGGATGGGACAGGGACAGGGGACAGGGAAGTAACTGAAGCTAAATAAAATGTGCTCAAGTTTTAAATGGCCGTTCGAGAAAATGTCTCCTAAATACCGGCTGTATACTTCTCTAATTTTAGGATAGCTTCTGAGTAGTTCCAAGTACAGGCTGTCTGTGTGCATGAGAAACACAGCCCAGAAGACCCTTGGGCCTAAGCCTCAGTGGGTGAATTTGGGGCTGAGATGAAAAGATTGACTTTCCAAGGTCTTCTCCTGTGAAGCGCTATTCCCCCCTGTCCCATATACAGCAAAGGAATTTAGACTAAAATGTACAGGAGAATATGGGGGCAATTCCCAAATTGCCATCTGAATACCTGGGACCCACTTCTCACTACAAAATGATTCTAGAGCTCACATATTTTCAATGGGCAAGGTTGAAAATGGCCTGAGAATTTGAGTGTGAGTGTCTTACATAGTTAAGGTAGAGTAGTGAGCCATTGGATGTTCATTCTGCAATAGATTCTGCTGTGGTGACTGCATTCTGAACTAGAAGAAGTTTTATTGGCTTTGAATGAAGAGTGAAACATTCTCAAGGATTAAGATGTTGGGATTCACAAAGAAAAAACAAATGTTTGTGATTTTTTTTCTAGTACATCTTGATCATATAGCTGAGACTCTGAAGCTCAAAAGAATGATTTGATAAGGCTTCAGTTTTTAACACTTGAATTCCAACACCTTTAACAATACTAAATGTTTCCCATTTTAAACAAGCCAAGTGAATGTCTCAATTCTTAACCAAAAATAAATGTGAAATAGATTGATATCACTCTTAGTCCATACAGAACATTATATAAATATTCTCTGGCCTTATCATCTAGCAAGGGAGGAAAAATAGATCAATTTACTCCACATCTGAGATTAAAAAGCAGAAAGACTCACTCACAGAGTTTCAGTATTTGACATTCAGAACCAGAAACAGAGTAACAGTGAGAACTTCAACTACTTCAATTTAGCCTCCCACCCTCTCTGCTATCACTTCTCAAAACTGCGAAGTATTTCAGAGTAGGAAAATGACTTCAAGGAGGAAATGGCACCATTGTGCAAAGCAGAGGCTGTATTTTCATCAAAGGTGGCAAATAAGTACTATCTTATCACACCTCTTTTCTTCACTCTCTGTTCTAGGTCTCTGGGGTCTGATCAATAATGCTGGTATTCCCGGTGTGCTGGCTCCCACTGACTGGTTGACACTAGAGGACTACAGAGAACCTATTGAAGTGAATCTGTTTGGACTCATCAGTGTGACACTAAATATGCTTCCCTTGGTCAAGAAAGCTCAAGGGAGAGTTATTAATGTCTCCAGTGTTGGAGGTCGCCTTGCAATCGTTGGAGGGGGCTATACTCCATCCAAATATGCAGTGGAAGGTTTCAATGACAGCTTAAGGTAAATCAAATTAATTGACTTATTAGGAAACAATAGCTGCAAACATTTACTGAGTGCTTATGTACAAGACATCCTATTTAGTACCTTTCAAAAAGCCTACCATATTTATCTCTAATTTTTGTGGGTACACAGTAGGCATATATATTTATGGTTATATGAGATATTTTGATACAAGCATACAATGCATAGTAATTACATCAAGGTAAGTGGAGTATCCATCACCTCAAGCATTTATCCTTTCTTTGTATTACAAACAATCCAATTATACTCTTTTAGTTATTTAAAAAACTATGATAAATTGTTGACTGTAGTCACCCTGTTGCGCTATCAAATACTAGATCTTATTCATTCTATATAGCTATATTTCTATATTTCTGTACCCCTTAATCATTCCCCCTCACCCCCACTACCCTCTCAAGCCTCTAGTAACTAGTTCTCTACTTTCTGTCTCTATAGTTTGTTTTAATTTTTAGCTCTCACAAATAAGTGAGAACATGTGAACTTTGTTTTTCTGTGCCTGGCTTACTTTACTTAACATAATGACCTCCGGTTCCATCCACGTTGTTGCAAATGACAGGATCTCATTCTTTTTTATGGCTCAATAGTAGTACTCCATTGTATATATGTACTACATTTTCCTTATTCATTTTTCTGTTGATGGACATTTAGGTTGCTTCCAAATTTTGGCTGTTGTGAACAGTGCTACAACAAACATGGTAGTGTGGATATCTCTTGATATATTTATTTCCTTTCTTTTGGGTATATACCCAACAGTGGTATTGCTGGATCATATGGTAGCCCAATTTTTAGTTTTTTGAGGAACCTCCAAACTGTTTTCCATAGTGGTTTTACTAATTTACATTCCCACCAACAGTGTTATGAGGATTCCCTTTTCTCACGTCATCGCCAGCATTTGTTATTACCTGTCTTTTGTATATATGCCATTTTAACTGAGGTAAGATAATATTTCATTGTACTTTTGATGTGCATTTTTCTGATGATCAAGGATGTTGAGCACCTTTCATATACCTATTTTCCACTTGTATGTCTTTTCAGAAATATCTACCCAGATCTTTTGCCCATTTTAAGTTGGGATTATTAGACTTTTCCCCATAGAGTTGTTTGAGTTCCTTATATATTCCAATTTTTAATTCCTTGTCAGAAGAGTAGCTTTCAAATATTTTCTCCCATTCTATGGGTTGTCTTTTCACTTTTTTGATTGTTTCCTTTGCTGTGCAGAAGCTTTTCAAATTGATGTGATCCCATTTGTCCATTTTTGCCTTAGTTGCCTGTGCTTGTGGCATATTGCTCAAGAAGTCTTTGCCCAGCTAATTGTCCTGGAGAGTTTCTCCAATGTTTCCTTGTAGTAGTTTCATAGTCTGAGGTCTTAGATTTAAGTCTTTAATCTATTTTGATATGATTTTTGTATGTGGTAAGAGATAAGGGTGTAGTTTCATTCTTCTGCATGTGGACATCCAGTTTTCCCAGCACCATTTATTGAAAAGACTGTCCTTTCCCCAATATATGTTCTTGACATCTTTGTCAAAAACGAATTCACTGTAGATGTATGGATTTGTTTCTGGGTTCTCTGCCCTGTTCCATTGGTGTATGTGTCCATTTGTATGCCAGTACCATGCTGTTTTATTTGCTATAGCTTTATAGAAAATTTGAAGTCATGTAATGTAATTCCTCCAGTTTTGTTGTTTTTGTCCAGGGTGGCTTTGGCTACTCTGAGTCTTTTGTGTTTCTATATAAATTTTAGGATTGTTTTTTCTATTTCTGTAAAGAATGTCATTGGTATTTTGATAAGAATTGCATTGAATCTGAAGACTGCTTTAGGTATTATACACATTTTAATAATACTGATTCTTCCAATCCATGAACATGGAATATCTTTCTGTTTTTTGTGTCCTCTATAGTTTTTATTGCAGAGATCTCTCATTTCTTCAAGTTAACTCCTAGGCATTTTATTTTTAGCTATTGTTTTTTTTTTTTTTTTTTTTTGTTTCCAGCTGTGCTTTATTGACAACGCGCCACTCAGGCCTTGACCGCGTACTTCCGCAGCGGGTACAGCCGCTCCTTCCGCTGCTGCTTCTTGGTCTTCAGGTTCTCCTCGTGCTTGTTGAGCCGGGGGCGCATGGCGCGTGTCTTCTTAGGCCACAGGTCCAGGGGCTTGTACTTCTTGCCCTCGTAGAATTTCCTGAGGTTTTCTTTGTGAGTCTGGTTAATGACTGTGAGAACACGGGCAATGGATTTGCGGACGACTCGTATCTTGGAGAGCTTGGAGGCCGCACCGCCTGTCACTTTGGCGACGCGCAGCTGGGACAGTTCCACCTTCAGGTCGTCCAGCTGTTTCAGCAGCTCCTCCTTCTTCTTCCCGCGAAGATCTCGAGCCTTGATCTTGGCCATTGCTGCAGAGGCCCCCGATGCCGCCGCCGCCGCCCGCTCCGAGGGAAAGAGCTATTTTTAGCTATTGTAAATGGAATTACTTCCGTGATTTCTTTTTTGGATTGTTTGCTGTTGGCATATAGAAATTGTTTGCTGTTGGCAACAGAAATCTTTTTTGGATTGTTTGCTGTTGGCTACTGATTTTTGTATGTTGATTTTGTATCCTGCAACTGTACTGAATTTATTTGTTCTAATAGTTTTTATGTGTGTGGAGTCTTTAGGTTTTTCCAAATATAAGATCATATCACCTGCAAACAAGGATAATTTGACTTCTTCCTTTCCAAATTGGGTTTGAGCTCCATTGTATGTTATTTGTTTTTGAGGAATCTCCAAACAAATCTTGCTGCTTTTAAGATCCTTTCTTTATAATTGACCTTTGGGAACTTGATTAATAAATGCCTTGAGGTAGTCTTCTTTGGGTTAAATCTGCTTAGTGTTCTATAACTTTCTTATACTTGAATATTGATGTCTTCCTCTAGGTTTGGAAAGTTCTCTGTTGAATAAACTTTCTACCCCATCTCTCTCTCTCTCTACCTCGTCTATAAAGCCAATAACTCTTAGATTTGCCCTTTTGAGGCTATTTCTTAGATTCTGTAGTTATGCTTCATTCTTTTTTATTTCTTTTTCTTTTGTCTCCTCTGACTGTGTGTTTTCAAATAGCCTGTCTTCAAGTTTACTAATTTTTTTATTTTGCTTGATCAATTCTGCTGGTAAAAGACTGACACATTCTTGATTATGTGAATTGCATTTTTCAACTCCGGGATTCCTGCTTGATTCTTTTTAATTATTTCAGTCTCTTTGTCAAATTTATCTGATAGGATTCTGAATTCCTTCTTTGTGTTATCTTGAATTTCACTGAGTTTCCTCAAAGGAGCTATTTTGGATTCTCTGTCTGAAAGGTCTCATGTCTCTGTCTCTCCAGGATTAGTCTCTTGTGTCTTATTTAGTTCATTTGGTGAGGTCATGTTTTTCTCCGTGGTCTTGATGCTTGTGGATTTTTTTTTTTTTTTTATGTCTGTGCATTGAAAAGTTAGGTATTTATTGCAGCCTTCACAGTCTGGGCTTGTTTGTACCCATCCTTCTGGGGAAGTCTTCCCAGGTATTTGAAGGGACTTGGGTGTTGTGATCTAACTTTTTGGTTCCTGCAGCCATATCTTCATTAGGGGGCACCCCAAGCCCAGTAAGACTGTGCCTCTTACAGGCTCACAGAGGTACCACCTTGATGGTCTTGGATAAGATCCAGAAGAATTATCTGGTTTACCAGGAAGAAACTCTTGTTCTCTTCCCTTACTTTCTCCCAAACAAGTGGAGCTTCTCTCTATATACTGAGCTGCCTAGAGCTGGTGGAAGAGTGACACAAGCACTCCTGACCACTATCATTGGGACTGCACTGAATCAGACCCAAGGCCTTCTGTAAAATTGCCTGGCTACTGCCTGTGTTTACTCAAAGCCCTGAGGCTCTACAATTAGCAGGTGGTGAAGCCAGCCAATAAGACTTATGTCCTTCCGTTCAGGGTGGCAAGGTCTCCCTACCCCTGGGTGGGGTGTCCAGAGATGCCATCTGGAAGCCAGGGACTGGAGTCAGAAACCTTAGGAATCTACCTCATACTCTATTCTACTGTGGTTGAGCCAGCATCCAAACCACAATACAAAGTCCTTCCCACTTTTCCCTCCCTTTTTCACAAGCAGAGGAATCTCTCACCATAGCTACCACCATCTCAGGCCTGCAGCAAGTACTGCCTGGCTATGACCAATGTTTACTCAAAGCCCAAGAGCTCTTCAATCTGCTTGTGGTGAATGTTGTTAGGCTTGAGACTCTCATTTCAGGGCACTGGGCTCCCCTCTGGCCCAGGATAGGTCAAGAAATGCCATCTAAGACCCAAGGTCTGGAATTGGAGACGCTAAGTACCCACTTGGTGCTCTACCCCATTGCGGTCAAACCAAGCTGGCACCTAAGCTGCAAGACAACATCTCCTTTACTCTTCCCTCTCCTTTTCTGAAGCACAAGGAGTCTCCCCCTGTAGCCATCACAGCTGGGAATGTCCTAGGTCACACTGAGGCCAGCATGTCTCTGAGTCTCACCCAAGGCCCATGGTGAGTTCCTTGGGTATTGCTCCTGATTTTTCAGGGCCCAAGGGCTCTTTAGTCAGCAGGTAACGAATTTTGCTAGGACTAGTTTCTTCCCTTCAAGGTAGAGGGTTTCCTTGTGGCTCAGGACAAGTCTAGAAATGTTGTCCAGGAGGTAGGCCCTGGAATAGGGGCCTCAGGACTCTACCTGGTTCCCTATCCTACTGTGGCTAAGCAGGTATCCAAGTCACAAGACAAAGTCCTCTTTATTCTCCCCTTACCTCTCCTCAAACAGAGGGAAGGAGTCTCTCCCAGAGCTGTGGACTGTGCTGTCTGGGGCTGGGGGAGGGGTGGCACAAGCACCCTCTTGGCTGCCCAAGCTGGCATCTTACTAGGTTGCTTGCCCCCCAAGTCTACTGTCTCTGAGCTCAGCACAGCACCAGGACTTGCCCAGGAATTGTAATTCTTGTGACCTGGACTGCCTTTCAAGTTTATTTAGAACCCCAGAGCACATGAGCCCACACTATTGAGGCTTGCTGGCACTCAGGTTCTAACTACGGAAATGGGAAAGTCCTCCTCTGGCTAGGGCTGGTCTGAATGCTCCCTCTATGGGTGCTGGCTGAGTTCTGTCTGGTATTGCTTTCCACTGTGACAGGACAGCACTGAGTTCCAATGCAAATCCCACAATCACTGTGCTCTCCCTCCCACCTCAAGTACTCAGATTCTGTCTCCATGCCTCACAATTGCTGCTGGTCTATGGAGGAGGAGTAGCATCAACCATTCAAGACTGTCTTTCCTACCCTCTTCAGAGCCTCTTTCAGTGATATGAAGTTAAAGTTAGGGACTGTGATCACTCATCTGATTTTTGGTTTTCTGAAGGTTTTTTGCGTGAAGGTTGTTTAATTTGGTGTTTCTGTGGGGAGGATGATCAGTGAAGGCTTCTATTTGGCCATCCTGCTCCACCTCTACCCTATTTAGTACTACAAGTTATTCCCAGTGTATAGATGATGCCACTAAAACTAACAGAGGTTAATTCATTTGTGCAAGGTCATCCAGCTGGTAAGTGGTAGACCTGAGATTCGAACCCAAATTTAACTCCTTTTCACTTTTTGCCTTAATACATGATGCTTAGAGTGGCAGCGAATTTATATTCAACTGGTCAGTTTGTCAAATAGTTAGGGAATCATATAGAGAGGCTAGATCAGAATAGGCTTCTCATTGGTTTACTGTCAGTTGCAGACACAACAGTACCATCCTATTTAAACCTTCGGTAGAAAACCATTAGTTCTTAAATAGCTCCATGCATGCTGTCCAAGCTTTATAGCTTCATTCCGTGGGAGAGACTGGGGGAAGTGTGCTTAATCCATCTTACCTGGAACCAGAACTTATCACCATCAGTTCAAATCCCCTAAAGTACAAGTGGTTCTTTCAGTCAAGATTCTGACAGGAAATGGTGGCACATTAAAACTCGGTAAAAGGCAGAGCATGCTTAAAGGACTTATAAACGTGTGAGGTATCTACTGAAATCTCAAAGGATAGAATCTATGGGCTAATGACAGCAGGGGTATTTCTCTTCAGAGGACTGAAGGGACAAGGAGACAGGGCAGTTTCCAGAACCTGGAGACACAGAGGCTGGTGTCTTCAGTTAAGGGATAAAAATAACCAGTGTTGACACCACAGGAGGATAACTAATCTGACCCCCTCACCTCTTTCCTGATCTCCCACTGGCAGTTTCAATAGACTGAACTCAACAGAAGCCAGAGAATACTTAGTGCAGGTAAGACTCCCAGAATATGGTACAGACAGAGGGCGGAGGAAAGGACTAGAGAAGCAAGTGGAAGATATTCAGCTGAGTGGTGCCTCAATAAAAAAGCGAGAAGACAAAGTTAGATATAGTTTTTCCTTCGATTCACCCGTTTATTTATTTGACTATTATTTGTTGAAGGCATATGCTAGAGTTTATTATCTACACCATGGACCTAGGTTTAGTTTACTAATAAAAGGTTAAAATTATTCCACTGAAATTAATAAATATAGAGCAACTTCATTTTACCATTTGATCAGGTGGCCAAGTTTGATTCCCCTAGGAAATAAACACAAAAATATTGGAACAATTCTTCCAAAAAACTAATGTGCATTTGAATTACCTGGGGATCTTTTTAAAATGCAGATTTCGATAAAGTGATCTGGAGAGGGGCCTGAGACCATGCATTTCTAACAAGCTCCAGGTGCTGCCCATGGTTCAGGGATCACACTTTGAGTAGCAAGGTCATAAAGAACCTCCATTGGTCTCTTTGGTTGACCTTTGGTTCCACTGTACAACCAGCAGTATCATAATAAAATTTTAGTATATGTACTTAGAGATTTACTCACTTTTAAAAAAGATTTCAACTGAAGGGTTTGTGAACTTTGCCATGCAGCTATGCCATGCCTAAAAGTAATCAATAAAGAGTATTTTTCTTAAATGGATCATGAAACTAGTATTTTAAATGGTGTTACGTAGGTACTCCACAATCCAGTGTCAGCTCCACAATTTCTATATATAGGAAGGTTTAGGGGCAGCAGTCCATCTCAGAGAGGGTTGGGGCTACTTAAAGCTGTATTTTCCCAGTATGCATACTGATTTAACATGATTTTTACTTACCTGGTAAGCTTGGTTGGAGGGCTTAAAGCCACTTGTCCCTAGTATGTTATTTTTATGAGTGGGTGGGGAGAAAAGTCTTCCCAAATAGCCTCTTGGCACTGCTGCTTCCACGATCTAGAGGAAATCAGGCAACAGATGAATACAACAAAAGTAAGTTGGGAAATCATCTTTTTTAATTTTAGTACAAGTCACATACCTTTCAGAATGTCTCAAGGTCAAGCTAACTAGCATTTTTAGGAAAATATATTTCAAACTTTACAATAGTAACATTGCTAAAAAGCAGAACCTAAGAAAAAATAAATTACATTTTAAATTCACTAATAGAGTTTTAAAAATCTTATGGTGAAGAGTTCTATAAAATGAATAAATACTTCCTTATATTATATATTCCTGGTAGGAATATAAATCAAATTTAGGAAATGATTATTCATATACTGGTTTGCCATACAGGTGGTCCTGACTTAAATGTTAAACATGACTTTTCAACTTTCGTTTAGATGCATGCATTATAAACTTTTCTTAGAATTTGGAAATTTGATCTTCTACCAGCAACAATATGTACAGTACTCTCTCGCAATGCTGTGCAGTGCAGTGAACCTCAGCTCCCAGTCAGCCATTGCAATCATAGTGTAAAGAACTGCTATCCTGCAGGGCACTGTGTGGCCAGATGATTTCCCCCCACTGTGGGCCAATGTCAGTGTTCTGAGGATGTTAACGTAGGCTGGGCTAAGCCATGATGTTCGGCAGGTTAGGTATATTAAATGCATTTTTTGACATAGGATATTTTCAACTTACAATGAGTTTATGAGGATGTGACCCCATCTGAAGTCGAGGAGCATCTGTATATTGGTTTGCTTTAAAGAAAGGGGCACCATGATTCCTGTAAAACCTAGATGCCTAGGGAATGAGTAGGCTTTTGGTTTTCTGCTGCAGCATGATTAAAAAAAAAAAAAAGAAAAAGAAAAAAGCATGCTTTTAGGGAGCAGGTTAGTCACATCAGGGATTATTGTATTGTGTCCTTCAGCACATCTTCATTTGTGCTGCAGTCTCCTTATGTTGCTAGAATGGAGGTGAACTTGTCCGTCCAGGCTATCATTAGTTCATTTCAGCATAAGTACTGATAAGAAACCTGTTCATAACCTGAATGTCCACTAAGTCAATGATGAGAGCGTGAAGAACACTCTAGGAAGAACAACAGTGGACTGCGGGTGGTGTCCACCCAGATCCCTTTCCTATCCTGCTGTTAACTAGTCCTCACTTCACCACTCTAAACCTCAGTTTCCTCACTTGTAAAATGAAAGGGAGAGAGAATAAGGTATTTCTTTCAAATGTACCCAAATCTGTGATTCCATGAAAAGATTCATGAGAAAATAGTCACTCAAATAGCAAATATTTTCTAAACAAACCTGGATTAAACATCTTCAATGGGTTCTTTTCACAGACGGGACATGAAAGCTTTTGGTGTGCACGTCTCATGTATTGAACCAGGATTGTTCAAAACAAACTTGGCAGATCCAGTAAAGGCAACTGAAAAAAAACTCGCCATTTGGGAGCAGCTGTCTCCAGACATCAAACAACAATATGGAGAAGGTTACATCGAAAAAAGTGAGTTTCTGGGTGGTGCCAGTGTCCTCTGGAATTCTTTGTACTGAACAGCATGAAGGAGATTCAAACACAGATGAAATAACAAGGTTCTGAGTAATACCCCAATAAGGATCTTAACCATGGATCAGGGATCACCTATTAATTTCAGTGTCATCTCTTGTTTCTGTTTATAAACATTTACTGAGCAATTACAAACTGCCAAGCTATCTGCTAAGTGTCTTATGAATTATATCATTTACTCCTCAAAAACTATTAGAGTAATGAGCAGAGGCTTGGGAAAGTGAAATGTCCTCCCCAAGATTACACAACACCTCCTAGTCACACCTGGACCTGAGCCCAGGCAGGTGACTCCAGCCCACGGTCTTCACCTTTGCCATACCTCCTCTTTTTTTGTCAAGCACCAGCTGTACACTTGGCATTGTTTAAGGATTTATGGTGGTTACAAAAGATACAGAAGGTTCAGCCTCTAACCTTTAACTAGTTTACAATCTAGTTGACAACAAGAAGTAACCAAGTGAGAATGTAAAACAATGAAACAATGTAGCACACAATAAAATTGATCCTTTACTTCTTAGGTGTAATCTAACAGCCCAGAAATGGTGCTAGATGGTGTGGTTTCTAATTCCCCAGGGAATTCAGACCAGGAAAAGAGCATTGCTGGTTAAGAAACCCTAATGGGGCAGGTCAGGTTTGAATGAGACCCAAAGGACAGGAAATAATTACTTGGGTGTAAACTGTCTGGAGCAGGAACACATGGAGGAGGAGACGGAAGACACCAGGAGCCTTCCTGGTCAAGAGAGTGAGTCAGAGATGGGAGAATAAGTCAGAGATTGAGTCAGTGATGGGAAAATAATAATGAAGATGGCATAATGATGGCTAACAAATAGTAAATATTTACCACGTACTTGTCACCATTCTAAGTGCTTTACATGGACATTCATTTAAAATCCCCCCAAAAACTCTATTATCATCTTCATTTTATAGAAATAGAGGCATAGAGAAGTAACTTACCAAAATTTTACCACAAGTAAGTGGAAGAGCTAGATTTGGACCCAGGCAGCCTGACCCTGCCATTTATGCTTGGCCATAGCACTATAATGTGAACAAGGCATTAAGGACTTTGGTCACATTCCTGTTATCAGGCCTTCCCTTCCACCACAAACTTCTTGGGTCAGTTAAAGTTTACTTGATATTCCTCAAATACTTACTGAGCTCCTGCTTTGAGTTGAGCAGGGTTCCACCTAACTATGTGTAGTTCTATTCCTCCAAACTGTGCCCATGCCTCTTGATCAGTGGACTTGGTAAGACAGTTAACTGTGGCGAGGTTCATGGTCAGCAGTTTTCAAGGCAGAACCAAAAGCCAAGTCAGACCCCCCTGGAGAGGTTTTTAAAATGACTGACTCCTCCAACCACCACTACCCCAGACACCCCCCACCCACCCCCACACACACGTGCACACACACACAGAGGTACACACATTATCTATATATCAACTGAAATGTCTGGTCTTAAAATGTCTTAGTGCTGACATGTCACTATAGGTTTAGAACCACTGCCATCAAATGCTCTACTTTTCAGTTCCTGACTCTGAAGGTTCTATGTAGGTTCCATCTAAGACTGAACTTAATACTTCATAAACAAAACCCCTCATTTAAAAGAGCTTTCTCTGTTTGATATTGACACTGATACTTTTTAAATACCTTTAAATATATCACTGACTTCCATCTCCAATTATTTTTGGCTTGGTTCCTGGTTCTTGTGTTCTGTCTCAGAAATACCAAAGGCCGTTGAGCTCAGTTTCAGACTGGTTGTCCTTATTAGAGTTTTCAAGTCAGGACTTGGAGATGAGCCAAAGGCACAGTCCTAAAGTGACCACAAATTTAAGGTCATCTTTTCTTAATTTCCTGAGCTGGGATAGTAGGAGTTTAAAATAGCCACTAAGACTTGTTAGGTTCTTTGAACAACTTGTGGCCAGTGGGACCTGAAGTTGAAAGAAAGATCTAACTTCATAGACTTTCCCTTGAGAAGACACAACTCAGGTATGTTTTAAAAGTATGTGAGAATCATATACACAACTCAGGTATGTTTTAAAAGTATGTGAGAATCGTATGATAGCTCTACTTTGAATTTGAGGGGGAAATCTCTGTGCCATTTTCCATAATGGCTGTACTAATTTACATTCTCACCAACAGTATACAAGAGTTCTTTTTTCTCCCTGCCGTTGTCAATACTTGTTATCTTTTGTCTTTTGATAATAGCCATTCTAACAAATGTGAGGTGATATCTCATGTGGTTTTAATTTGCATTTCTGTGATGGTTAGTGATGACAAACATTTTTTTTCATATACCTGTTGACCATTTGTATCTTCTTTTGAGAAAAGTCTATTCAGATTCTCTTTCCATTTTTTAATCAGATTATTTCTTTTCTTGCTGTTATTTGAGTTTCTTATATATTTTGAATATTAACTGTGTATAAGATATAAAGTTTGCAAATATTTTTCCCCATTCTATATGTTGTCTCTTCACTCTTTTAACTGTTTCCTTTGCTGTGCAGAAGTTTTTTAGTTGGATATAATCCCACTTATCTAGTTTTGTGTTTGTTTACTTTTGTGCTTTTGGGGTCATATCCAAAGAAATCATTGCCCAGACCAATGTCAAGAAGTATTTCCTTTATGTTTTCTTCTAGTAGTTTTTGTTTGTTTGTTTTCAATAGAGAGAGGTCTCACTATGGTTCCCAGGATAGTCTTGAATTCCCTGGGATCAACTGAACTTCCCACCTCAGCCTCCAAAACTGCTGTAATTACAGATGTGAGCCACCATGCCAGGCCTCTTTTAGCAGTTTTATAATTTCAGGTCTTCTGTTTAAGTCTTCAATCCATTTTGAGTTGATTTTTTTTTATGTGGTGTAAGATCTAGTTTCATTCTTCTGCATGTAGATATACTGTTTTCCCAATACTATGTGTTCAAAAGACTAGGGTTCTAAACTACCACTAATCCGTTGTAAAAAAAACCTGCCTCTGTAAAGGTACCTTCATTCATTATTCAACCATTTCATTTGCATGAGAACTGGGATCCTTGTAGCTTTCTGAGTCGGTACATTTGGGATGATTCTCTCTTTATTTACAGATTATAGAAGCCTGTGGTATACAAGTGCATACTCACATCCACACATGCATGCACATACATGCACAAGCACATGTGCAATCCACATTTTCTCTAGATACATAATCCCCTAAAACAAATTAGAAATCAAACATACAACTTTCTAGGCTTAGGGGCCTCATGGGCTTTATGAAGTATTATTTGCTCATTGCTCTAAAGCACTGGCTCTCAAAGTTTGATCCCTGGACCAGCAGCATCAGCATCATCTTGAAATTTGTTAGAAATGCACATTCTTGGGCCCCACCTCATACCTCAGTCAGAAACTCTGGAGGTGGAACCCAGAAACATGAGTTTTACTGAGCTCTCTAGAAGATTCTGCTGCCCACCCAATCTCGAGAGCCGCCGGTCTAAAGAAAGCATTGTAGTATCCTTTTCTGAGGAATAGATAGTAAATCCTCAAAATGATCTTCCATTATAACAGACAATTCAGAAAAAATCCCCTTGTATCCATCCTCCCCTTTGCACCCTAGACTTCCACTCTGCTTTCCCCTTCTTCCAAAGAGTAAATGTGCTTTTGTCTCTTTTTAGGTCTAGACAAACTGAAAGGCAATAAATCCTATGCGAACATGGACCTCTCTCCGGTAGTAGAGTGCATGGACCACGCTCTAACAAGTCTCTTCCCTAAGACTCATTATGCTGCTGGAAAAGATGCCAAAATTTTCTGGATACCTCTGTCTCACATGCCAGCAGTTTTGCAAGACTTTTTGTTGTTGAAACAGAAAACAGAGCTGGCTAATCCCAAGGCAGTGTGACTCAGCTAACCACGGGTGCCTGCTCCAGGCTATGAGATTGGCCGATTTCAAGAGCCCATCTCCTTTTCAACCCCATTCTTTATCTGCTCCAACCTGGACTCATTTAGATCCTACTTATTTGGATTACAAAAGGGAGTCCCACCATTGTTGGTGGTGTCCTAGGGTCCCTGCTCAAGTTTTCTTTGAAAAGGAGGGCTGGAATGGTACATCACACAGGCAGGTCCTGCCCTGTATTTAGGCTTTGCCTGCTTGGTATGATGTAAGGGAAATTGAAAGACTTGCCCATTCCAAATGATCTTCACCGTGGCCTACCCTGTGCTTATGGTCCCCAGCATTTAGAATAACTTGTGAATGTTAAGTATCGTCTCTTATCTAAATATTAAAAGATAAATCAAACATTTTCATGAGTGGATAGACATGTTTTGTTACCTTGCTGAGGATGACTCTGAAGGACTGAAGCTCAGTTCTGATAAGCTTTGAAAAGGACAGGAAAAGGAAGAGGGATCAAGCATTGTGTGACAGTGGTATAAACTAAGAGCAGCAGTAAAACATGAGATAGAACTGCAAATAGAAGGAAAGAAAAAGATAGGAAAAGGAATAAGAGGACTGCAAAAAAGAATACATACCTAAATATGTATATATGAAGAGAGACTCCCCAACACTCAGACGAGCCTTCCCAGAGAGAGCTATGGAGGATGAACATCCTATTCAAGGCCACTAAGAACATTGATGCACACAGTTTTCTGGTGGAAAGATGTAATGACATAGTAACTAATCATTCCAAAAGAAGAAAAATGTCACATTTTTCTTCTGGTTAGTTTATTCTGATGATTGTAAAAGTAACAAGACCCAGACCAGGTGGCACAACTTACACCTGAGATGGCTGGAAATCCTGCATTTGAGGTGTCTTTGAAGCCCCATGAAGAAATAGAGCTAAATAAAAAGACTCTCTTTAGCCTACAGTTACAGTGGGATTAGATCTGCGTCTTGTTTGTATTCATGTTTCTACACTGAATTGACCCTGGGCCCACACCCCATCCAAAAGAAAGAGTTCTCTAAACAGACGTTTCCCGATTCCAGCAGCCAATACTGCTCGCAAACGTTTGTAGAATATTTACAAGAAGTCTTCAGTGGCAGAATGCAACATTTTTTGCATAATAATACAGTGTAAAGAGTTAGAGAAATTAGCTAATGTACATGTGCAAGTGTGCACATGTGTGCGCACACACACACATGCATATACACACACGCTTAACATATTGCGAAGAAAGTCCACCTATAATCCCAGCAGGTCAAGGCAGAAGGATCGCTTGAGCCCAGGAGTTCAAAACCAGCTTGGGCAATATAGTGAGATCTTGTCTCTACAAAAACTAAAACGTTAGCTTGGCATGGTAGCATACATCCGTAGTCCCAGTTACTTGGGAGGCTGAGGCAGGAGGATCACTTGAGCCAGGAGGTTGAGGCTGCATTGAGCTGTGATCATGCCACTGCACTCTAGTCTGGAAGACAGAGCAAGACCTTGTCTCAAAAAGAAAGAAAAAAGAAAAAATATTTAATATCTGCTGCTTGAAACCATGTCCATTTGAAGGTATTAGTAATTCTACTCATTTTTAATCACCTTTCTAGAAATATCTGCTTATCAGGTAATTTTCTGCTTTCAAGTTTACAACATATTGGTGACCGAAAAATCAAATTACAAATGGTGTCAATCCACTTGTATATACATTTTGTAATTTTGAAGAAGTATATACTCATCCTTTTTGCATCAAAATGAAAAAAAAAAATCACAGCAAGAATGAGATGGAAGAATTCTCGGGCAAAATTAGCTAACCTGCCTGCCTGTGAGGTCATCCCCATCTTGGACCTAGCCCCAGAGACAGCTCACTTGTAGATCTCTGGTTTCTTCTTGTTGCAGTTAACCACCCCACAGTCCATCCTTGGAGGTAAAGTTCACCAATGTTGTTTACTGGGAACCCCCTTGCCTTGAATTCACATCTTGGCTTCATTTCACTGCTTTAGAATTCTTGACAAGCTGCTCCCTGACTTTCCAGACCTCCCAGGGCTGCCAAGATACTTTGAATCTGAAGGAACTTTCTTTGCCAAACTTCTAACAATTTCAGTCATATTCCTGGGCCTACCTAACTGTGTTCTTTCTTTTGTTTTGCCTAGACCTGAGTTCTTTGTTCATTCCTTCTAGTAGCTACAATTTGGTAACTCCCTGTTTCATCCAACCAAAAAAGTCTCTCCTTAAATGTCATCAGGCGTGATATTATTCCAAAATAATACCAAATATATTCACCTAAGCAATTTTTAAAGGTGTTTAAAATACACGAGAAGGTGGGGTGTTGGGGGCATAGAGGCGTAAGTCTCTATAGAGGCACAAGACCCGTGTGGTAGGGAGCAATGGAGGGATGAGGATATCAGACGGTCACTATGTCAGGCATCTTGGGCATGGAGTTCCTAGACTTCTCTCCGTCTTACCATAATCACTTCTAATTCTCTGTTCTTTTGGGGGAAATACCTATCAAAGTTTTATCTGTAAATATTTGAGGAAACATATTTTGACGATGATGGACATTCTTCTAAGTACTGGCCTGTAATAAGGAACATGATGGATGTGAGGCCTTCCTCCATAGAGCCTTTTGGAAATAATCCAAGGCTAAGGTCAATACTCAGGAAGCCTTAGAGGACCTTCTCCAGGAATGCACGGCCAAGATGAACAGAGATGTTGTCCTCCACCACATCTAGCTTGAAGGATTCTTCCTCACTTAGTTTGGAGAGACCAAGAGAACCTCCCAAACCCTTCCTCTGATCTGATCCAAAAATCCAACTGTGTCCTTCATCTGGGCAGCCACAATATATTCAAATCTGGAGTTTCATCTTCCCCACCCCACAGACATTTTCCCAGTCCAACACCAATTACTGTCAATTTAATCTCCATAGGGATCTGGAGTCTGAATACCTCTCTTCATCTCCAGTGCAATCACCTGTTCAAGCTACCATCTCTTGTTTCTACTACAGCATATCCACCTTGTGCACCATCAGTGATTTCTCCTCATTGCAGTCAGAATTGCTCAAAATTAGTATCTAATCATTCTGCTCCTTCTGTTGTTGCTTTCTTAAAATCTTCAACGTGTTCTCGTTGCACTTTGGCTAAAGACTAAAATGCTTTTGTGAACCCTGCTGCCCCCATACTCCTCATTAGCCTCATTTTATAGCACTATTCTCTATACCTGGCCACCTCAGGACCTTTCCCATGCTTCTCCCTGGAAAGTTCCATCTTACCTGGTTTTCTAGTTTCTTTTGTCCTACAGATCTCAACCACGTCCTCAGGGAAGCCCACACAATTTCAAATTCTGACCACCACCTCTTTATTCAGTTAGGTTCCCATCTTGTACACTCTCACTGTGCCCTGTAATTTTCTTCAGGAATCTCATCACAGTCTGTAATTGTATATGCATATGATTAGTTAATACAGGTCTCTTGTATCATATCATAAGCTCACGAAATCAGGATTAATGATGCTTTGCTTAATAAAGATGCTTTGCTTAATAAGTATCCCCTTACCTCGGACATCGCTGGCACACAGATAAATGTTCAATAAGTATTTGTTGAATGAACACAAAAATTAGTCTATATTAGCCTTTCTAACTAAGGGTCAATTTATTACTCAAGATCAAGCTGGTCAGGTGCAGTGGCTCACAACTATAATCCCAATACTTTGGGCGGGGGGCCAGTACAGGAGGATCATTTCCAGAGCAGCCTGGACAACAAAGGGAGGCCCCATCGCTACAAAAACAAATTTAAAAACTAAAAATTAGTCAGGCATGTTGGCATGTGCCTGTAGTCCTAGCTACTCGGGAGTCTGAAGCAAGAGGATGGCTTGAGCCCAGGAGTTTGAGTCTGCAATGAGCTATGATTGCACCACTATAGTCCAACCTGGGCAACAAAGCAAAACTCTGTCTCTAAAACAATTAAAAATAAGTAAGTTTTCACAAAAAGATCAAGCCTGCTGATCCCATTAGTTGTGCTGTCAGTGTGTCAGTTCAGTCAAAGTCTCATAACTTCCTTGAGCCTTTCAAGTCTTCCTGAAGGCTCCCAGCTCTGGCTCTGCTCTCAGCCTCCCCTGATACTGAGCAGTGTTACTGTAGTGATTTCCCACCACCTATTGCAAAGGAGCCCGCCTCCATGCCAAGCCATCCTGGGCCCAGTAGGCACAGAGCAAAAAGATCATCAGGGATCATTGAGTCCATTTCTCTGCTTACAGGCAGGACATGTCTAAGCCATCCAGCCTGAAGAGAATCTCTTCTAGTTAAAATCTCTCCAGAAACTCTATAACTTCTGTTATCTTAGGGTAGACCGATACTTAATGACCAGCATTTCACCCTGACCAATAGTTAATGAGAAAAATTTCCAGGAAACTTATTTAACAAATGATTAATTTTGGCTCTTTTGCACATTATTAGTCCCAGTAGTTCTCAAGAACACAAGAGATCACAGTCCCATCAATGTGGAGGAAATAGCTAAACATTCTCAAAATGAAAAACATTTTTAAATTCATGACAACTCAATCTAAGCCATAGTTTATAAGGACATAGCTGACCAGGAGTTTTGTGAGTCTTTGCAGGTTGAAATGTAAGATAATTTGATATTCCTAATGCTAAAATTCTTCCTCAACTCTGCAATTCATTTTTTAAAAAGAAAATATGAGTAATTTCCATCCTAGTAGATGAGGTACTAATGCAGACAGAGCTTTAGTACAGATTCTGGTTTAGTAGCGTTTCCAAGCATCTTTCTTTTTTTCCCTTCTGTTTTCTTTCTTGCATATGACACCTGCTCAAGCAGGAACAAGATCATAGTTCTTGCCTGATTAGTCCCTAGAAATAGCAATCCAGCCTAGAATAGTTCAGGTGAAGGCAATAGAGCGTTCTGTCTTTCTACAACTAACAACTCTTCTGAAGTGTTCCATTTTACTTCCTTTTGAGAAACTGGAAACAGAAAGGATTCTGCTATGAATACATAGTGTATGTTCTGGGCAAAAACCATCTATCCCCAAATGTAGGTAAAATATTTACTTACAGTGTTCTGGGTCTGTTTTTTCCTCCTAGGTATGGCAACTGTAACTTGAGTATAATGCCACCCAATTAATGTTAATGCCTGAATTATGAACCAGGTAATCCAAACAACCTGGCTTGCCATGGGCATAATAGGATAAATAGTCATAATGATTGCTTAATACTTAAGTATAGGTCAGATTTTTAATACACTTTACTGTCTATTACATGAATGATTTCACGTAACCCTAATCATATCTCACTTATGTGTATTTGTTAGAGATGGAGAAGTGAAATCACAGAGAGACGAGCAACTTGCTCAAGGTTACACTGCTAGTGAATGTGG